CGAAGACGCGACGACGCAAAATCGCGATACCGCGACAACGCGACGCCCTAATGTGCGTTCGACGCACAAATGCGCGTGCCACATATGAGCCATTGTGCGACTCGTGGCAATGCTGTGTTGACACGCGACGCGAAAAGCGCGAAAGCCGTCCGCGGCACGATGACGGCACCGACGACGCGCTACTACTTTATTGCTCGAGTATCGCCGCGCGAATGATAACAAACACGTAAGAAAGGAATTTGAGCGTCTCGCCCCACTACAGTTCTATTCAAGTGCCTTTGTATAAATGATAACAAGACCGTGATACGTAAACAATGTTGACGCGCGTCAATGTTTACGCCGCCAAGGCCCATGTTAGGTATTGTCCTAATTCGCCGCCGAAATATTTTACGTACTATAAAATATATATGGGAAATATTAAATTATATAAGTATTTTATACTTATATAATAAATTTATATAAACGCGATCGCGTTTAGAGAATGAATTCGACGGAGCGTCTCGCAAAACTATTTTCCTGCTCGAGTGTCGTCGTGCGAATAATAACAGAGTCGAGATTCGAGATTCGAGATACGTAAAAACGTAAATAATAGCGCGCCAATATTTACACCGCGCCAAGGCTAAACACATGGTTGTTGATATTTCATTGCCGAAATATTTTACGTACTATGACCACTATGAGATATAATATATAGTATATAGACCGAGTATTAAGGAGTGGAGGTCGTCAAATATTAGACAGAGATAGCATATAATTTGTATCACCATTCTGTCTTTATCTTTTCATCTCTTCTACTTTTCTTTTCTTAGTTAACGAAGACTTCTTTATCTTACCACGCGTCGTGGTATATATATATAACATATCACGAAGTCTTTCGTTATGCTAATTACTCGACCCTGCGATTCTATTGTTTAATTGTACTTTTTCAATCCAAATTATAATTAAATAATCGAAAAGTTATACGAGAGAGATAGAGCATAGGACAAAATATCTTTAAGTATTAAAAGAAAAATAGTTATTGTTTGTAAGAATCAAGAGACATCCCATTTAGTCGGCAACGAAGTATGATCCTTGAATCGTAAAAACGGGATAGAGCTCCAACGCGAGAACGCGACGACGCGAAAACGCGACGACGCGAAAACGCGAAAACGCGACGCATCGTTGCTCGTGCACGATGACGGCACCGACGACGCACTAATGTCCGTTCGACGCGTTATATTAATTATTCGATTTTGCGATTCGATCGTTTTATAACACGTTCTTAATCCAAATTATATTTACATCATCGAAAAATCAAATGATGTAATATCATGAACAAAATATATTTGATTCTATTTGTTGTTAAAGAAATAATTATTGTTTATAAAGATTGCAACAAGACGATAATTTATAATTTAGATTTCTGTCACTTTGATTCTTACTTTGAAAAAGATTCTTACTTGCATTTTATCGGTTTGAGAATAATTTTAATGGATTAATGAGATTTTTGCGACTAAAATGACATCAAATACAACATAAATCAGATAATTTTTAGTTAAACTAATAATAAAAATTTTGATCACATATTTAAATTATCCTTATTTAAGTTATTATTATTACATTACTAGAAATTATTCGGTTTATGTCGTATTTGATATCATTTTAATCACAAAAAAAATTATTAATCCATTAAAATTATTTTTAAACAAGCATAATACAGAAGTTTTATTTTACAATAATATGACACATATATACTCGCGAAATACTATACCTATATAAAAGAGTAAGGCCCTCGCGTATAAGACTTCGAAACTCTTTAACGAACGTCATCTCGCTTGCTCTTATTTACTCGTTCTCTCTCTCTCTCTGCTCTCGCTCTCGATGATATCGGAGACCTTTATTTATCTATAATATTCAAAAATCTTATGTAATAAAAACTAAAACATTTATGTTTTATTTTAGAAAGTAATTTTTTGAAAATAATTTTAATGGATTAATTAGATTTTTACGATTAAAATTCAAACACGATATAATTCGGATAATTTTTACTTATATTAGATAAAGAAAAAAAAATTTTATCTAATTTTTAAATTTGTATTTAATTAAAATTTATCCGAATAATGTTATGTTTTTTTATGTCATTCCATTTACAAAAATCTTATTAATCAAATAAAATTACGTTCAAAATATAAGAAATATAAAAATTTTATAAAAGTTTTTATAAAATAAATGCACTCCGTTAGACACTATTTTCGCTCCGAAGCGTTTAGTGGACAAAGGAGGACGAAAAATCTTGTTCTTTGAACGAAAAAAGCTTTAAGCAAAGCGTATTTATTGTTATGTTTATTTTCAAAAGACTGTAATATTAATTATCTTATTGTTTTAATTATACTGCTTATGCTTATATAAATTTTGTTTCAAGAATATGAAAAAAGTAAAACTAATTTATTGTAAATCTTCTACACATTAAATTTAAAAGTTAGAAAAAAAAATTATTAAGAAATTGATCGAAGAAAATTTATATATAAATACTTCAATAATAATTTATTATCGCTGTCCATAGTTTATACTATAATAACAAAACATCACGCGCAGCTAATAAAACATTAATAAATTTCTATATTTTTCCGTATTTTTGATCCACAATTATGGATTTAGTACGGACACGTATTAACCGGCCGTTTTATCGTGGCACCGAAAAGTGAACCTGGCCATGTAGTTTTGCCGGCTCTAAAATGGATACAGTTGACGTTACTGTACCAGCTAGAAAAAGCGTCTTTCGAAAAATGGCGGCATGGCCCCTCTCAGACTTCTCTCTGACTTCAGAAAGAAGTATCTTATGCGAGATCCACACTGCATTCGATGACTGCGGTCGGGAAGACGCTAGCAAAGCTTCGAAGCGTTTGATTGACCAATCAGGACAAAAAGAGTAAAGATTTATTTATTCTGATTGGTTAATGCAATGCTCCGAAGCATTTCTAGTGTCTTCCCGACCGCAGCCGATATTTAACGTACAAAGCCTGATATCCAATAGGAGAGCTTGTTTTCTAGTGATTTCAACTAGCAATATTTTGGGCTCTAAAAACGAAAGTTTTCTAGTGTTAATCCTGCATTACCATAGACGTAAAAATCATTCGGATCCGCTCGGATCTTGTAATCTCGTTAGCTTCTGTTGCTCCTGTTTCGATTTTTTCGTGGCTGTCTTTTAAAGGAAGACGTTGTAAAAACTAAAATCAGAAATGGGAATCGGTGCCACCTTGTACAATGTCGTTCTTAGACGTACATCTTCTTTTGCGGTCGTCGTTTTAGCTTCCACCTTCGTTTTCGAAAGGGGATTTGATTTGGCAGCCGACCAGATTTTCGACACTATTAACAAAGGGGTAAATATACATTTTTCTATATTTTATATCTGTTTTGCATTTTATTTGAAATTAATTCGGTACTTGAATGTCAAATGTCAATTCTGGCTTTTGCGATTGTGAGATTATCAAAAATTGAAGTGAGGTTAAATATCATTGCGAAATATTTGATATATATAACAATATAATAATATTTCCTGCCAATTATGGCAAGTAATATTGAATAATGTGCGTGCGCAAAGAATTTGCATCGCATATTTTTAATTTATCTTAATTTATTATTAATTTATTGACATACTATATAGAAATAAAACCTAATTCACGTTCTGATGTACGTATAAAAGAGAACACTGATTGCATAACAGATATTGTCTCTTTTTCCAGAAACTATGGAAACACATAAAGGACAAATATGAGGAATGAACGAGGTATTTTAGAGACAATGTGTGTTAGCTTTACATTTAATAGATATGTGCTCTACCTTCAAATATGTATAAATAAATAACAATTTAAATTATTTATATACGTATGATGGTGGCGAGTTCTTTATCAGTCTCCACATGTTTTTATTTTGCATACTATTACGATATATTTCATGAGAGAAGTATCAAATATACTTCCATTTATTTTCATTTGTCATTTATTTGAGTATAAGAGAATGAACAATCATTACTTTGTAACTATAAGCATAGATGCGTTATAAAAAGTAATATATGTACATAAATGATAATTTTTTACACTTCCGAAGTTTTTTTAAGTATAAAAGCAGCCATAGTATTGGGCTTATTTCTAAATACTTTAGGAGTTGCTCATAGAAGGATCCATGACACGACCAGCAAAAAGAGTCTCGCTTGTTACCAAATCAACTATAGCAAAGATAAATGGTCTATTCGCTATAAAAGCTGGTGCCGTGTTAGCCATAAGCGGTACAACCATGAATTCTGTAATTGAATTAACATGAATGTGATAATCTACAGGCTCCAATATATTCAAAGAAATCTTATAAATTATGCCGATAATTACGTGTCACAGCAGCAGCAACAGTTCCCTCTTCATCGACTTCTATCTTAGCATTCTGAATTATACCTCCTATTCGCAAATGATCATTATATAAAATTCCTGTAAAATTTGCTGCTGTACCGAAAATGTCCTGTACACCCATCTAAATCAAAATAATATATTTATACATTTTCACCTTTTTTTAAATAACTTCCAATGTGAATATAATATTTACAATAATAATTATATATATA